CCCCAGGACATCCCAGCAGCTGGACTGACACTGGAGCTGGAGCTCTCATGACCCAGGAACAGCTGGAGCTGTGCCAGGGGGGTTTAGGTTGGGTAGCAGGAAAGGTTCCTGACCCAGAGGGTGCCCAGGCTCCCCAGGGAATGATCACATTCCCAAGGCTCCCCAGGGAATGGTCACATTCCCAAGGCTGCCAGAGCTCCAGGAGTGTTGGGACAACACTCTGAAGGACAGGGTGGGATTGTTGGGGTGTCTGGGCAGAGCCTGGAGTTGGATTTGATCCTTGTGGGCCCCTTCCAGCTCAGGATATTCTGTGATGTGCCTGACCCATCTTCCTCCCTGCTGTGGTTGAGGGATCCATCCAGGATCCCGTCAATCTCCTCCAGGCAGGGGTGGCTGGGAGCCAAGACTGTGCAGGGAACGTCAGGGCTGCTCCCTGATTTTGGAAAAATCACAAGGATTTATTGCCTGCCTGAGTCCCCCAGGCACAGAATGGAAATTGTTATCACCTGGGGACGTGGTTAAACTGATAAATGGGAGTTAAGAGGATGAAAGGTACGAAAGGGGAAAGGTGAAGGAATTTTGTGCCATTTTGGGAGCAGCTTCAAGCACTGCCCAGCAGGAGAGGTTGGAGGTGGAGGATTGATCCGAGATGAGAAAACCTCTGTCCCACAGAACATTTCCTCCTCTCCAGGGGCTGTGCCTGTCCTTGGGAAGCCCAGCCAGGCTGGATGGGGCCTCTGCTAGGGAATACATCCACAGATACAGAACATATCCATGGGAGATATTCCCCAGCATCTTGGGAGATGATCAAACAAGGCTGGAGATCATCTCAGACCCCCAGCACTTGCTCTTTCCCCATCATGGCTGCTCTGAACCTGCATTTTTTTCTCTCAACACCAACAACTGATGAATTTTCCAACCGTCTGAGCCGGTGTGGAGCTTCCCCCAGGGCAGAGTCCCTCCCTGTGACCCCTGTGCCTCCCTGCAGGGACCAGGTCCTGCGTGTCACGGCCAGGAAGGAGGAGCACATCACCCTGCTCAGGGTGCTGGGCGAGCAGGAGGAGCTGCAGGTGAGCTCTGAGGGGTCCTGAGCACCCCCTGGTGACAGACCCTGGTGAATCCAGGGCTCCCTCCTTCTATTGCCATCCCATCCTTTTTCCTCCCCATTTAGGAGCTGTATAATTTAGAATCATACAAATGTGAATTTAACCTGGGGCTCCTTGAGCTCAGAGCTCCTGTTTTGTATGAACTGGGAACATCCCACAAATATTCAAACAACTTGGGCTGGAACATTTCTGTAAATCCCTATGCAGCCATCCATCTGTGGCCCAAAATTTGCCCCAAACCCTTTTTAGACCCCTCATGGAAATTCCTGTGAGACCCTGGAGGTGCTGGGGAGCTCAGTGGATGAGCACCAGCACAGGATGGGACCGAGTTCTCCCTTTCAGCCCAACTTCTTCCTCCCAGGTGGATTTTTGGCGTCACCCCAACAGCCTTGGCCACCCCGTGGACCTGCGGGTGCCCTTCCCCAGCCTCCAAGGAGTCAAAAAATTCCTGGATTTCCATAATTTTTCCTACAGCATCATGATCGAGGACGTGCAGGTAATGGCTATGACAGGAACAGGATGAGCTCCTGCAGCCCAGCCCTAAGAGAAAGTCCAAAAAGTTGGAAATCAAGAAGAAAAATCCAACCCCGTCCTCCCTCCAGCTTTTTTGATCTTGGGTTTTTTTTTGCCTCCTAACCAGGAATTATTGGATGAAGAAAAGGAAAGCATGAGGAGGTCCAGGAGGGTGAAGAGAAGCTCCAGGATGTTTGATTTCGCCTCCTACCACACGATAGATGAGGTACCTTTCTCTGCAGAGCACTGCCTTTGTCCTGCTGGGGTCACATCCATGTGGTGAAGGTCGTGGTGAGTTCTTGGTGACAGGTGAGACCTCCCTGGACACGTTCCTCCTCCTTGGTGGAGCTTTTAGCTGAGATGGGAGACCGGGAAACCTTCCACATCCAGCGTGGCCACTCCTGGAACCTCCCACCCTGTGGAAGACATTTTTAGCTTCACTTTGGGGGTGCTTGGAGCCCTGTTTGGGACTGGTGGGGGCTGTGGTGGTGTTGGGGGGGTCTCAGAGCTTTTTCCCTCACCATTCATTCTACTTTTCCAAAAGTGTTGGGATGTGCCTTTCCCTGCTCACACCCCATGTTCTCCAGGGGAGCAGGAGATCTTCTCCAGGGCAGTCCCAGCTCTCCAGGGAGCACCAGATCCTCCTCAGGGAAGCTCTGCTTGCTGCATCCCACAACCAAAAGGTGAGAGCCAGGCTGAGCCTGGTGAGCCAGCAGCTCCTCCTTGCAGATCTACGAGTGGATGGATCTCCTGGTGGAGGATCACCCCAAGCTGCTCAGCAAGGTCCAGGTGGGGCAGAGCTACGAGCAGCGGCCCCTGTACGTGCTGAAGGTGGGTCCTGGGGCAGCCTTGCCCTGAAAATGCCCTCAGGGTGAGAGGCTGTGCCAGGGGAGCTCAGGGTGGGCAGAGCAGGAATTGCCCCATGGAAAGGGGGTGAGGCTGCCCAGGGGGGTTTGGGGTGCCCAGCCCTGGAGGTGGCACTCAGGGCTCTGGGCTGGGGACGAGGTGGGGATGGGGCCCAGGGTGGATTCCATGATCCTGGAGGGTTTTCCAGCCTCAGTGACCCCGTGGTTCCGCACAGTTCAGCACCGGGGGATCGAACCGCCCGGCCATCTGGCTGGACACCGGCATCCACGCGCGGGAATGGATCACCCAAGCCACCGGCGTCTGGACGGCCAACAAGGTCACCTTGGGGCCACCTGGGGTGTGGGACCCCAATTCTTACCCTGCATCTGTCCCACCCCTCGTCTCCGAGGGGCACCGGGGCAGCTCCTGCTCCTCTCCATGCACAGATCGCCAAGGAATACGGGCAGGACCCCTCTGTCACGGCCATCCTGGACAGCATGGACATCTTCCTGGAGATTGTCACCAACCCTGATGGCTTTGCCTTCACCCACAGCTCCGTGAGTGTGGGGACACTACGGGGGGATCTTGTCCCAGCACTGCCCCCAACCACAGCTGTGTTTTTTGGGTGGGGAGGGATGTTCCTCCATGTGGGGTGGTGAGTGGAGGTCCCTGGAGATGCTTGGGCAGGGGTTGGGACTCACATCCCTGTCCCAGTGTCCTCTCCATGTGCTCCTAGAACCGCCTGTGGCGCAAGACCAGGTCCATCAACGCTGGATCCCGCTGCGTGGGAGTGGATCCCAACAGAAATTGGGATGCTGGGTTTGGAGGTGAGACCTTGGCCACCATTGCTTGAGCCTCAAAACATCAAAACTTTCTGCTAGAGAAACCCAGGGGTGGAAGCCCTTCCTGAGGGATCCTCTCTGGATCTCCTCCTCCCCCTGCTCCAGGTGCCGGCTCCAGCAGCAATCCCTGCTCTGAGACCTACCATGGCCCTCACGCCCACTCCGAGCGGGAAGTGAGAGCCATCGTGGATTTCATCCGCGCCCACGGGAACGTCAAATCCGTCATCTCCATCCACAGCTACTCCCAGATGCTGCTCTTCCCCTACGGATACAGGAGGGCGCCCGCGCCCGACCACCAGGAAATGGTGAGATGGCCTCAAAATGTGGGGCTGGGACCACCTGGCAAAGGCAGGCAGAGCATCCCAGGAGCTCCCCTGCTCCTCTCATTAGATGCAACCTGAATATCAAACCCCTGCACCTGGGTTCTGGAGGAGGGTGGTTGTGAGATGGACCTCAAATATCAAAAATTAAGGGTTTTGGGAAAACCTAGAGCAGAAGGGATAGGGAATGATGGGCTCTAGATCCGTGTGATCCACCAGATCCCAGCACTTTTGGTGGTTCCTTTGCAGAATGAACTGGCCAAGAAGGCCGTGAGCGACTTGGCCGCCGTGTTCGGGACAAAATACACCTACGGCAGCATCGCCAACACCATCTGTGAGTGTCCCTCCCTCACCCCGCAGCAAATCCCCAGGGAACGGGCTCCCATCGGGCTCCTCTCCCTGCAGACATGGCAGGAGGCACCACCATCGACTGGGCCTATGACAATGGGGTGAAATATTCCTTCACCTTGGAGCTGAGGGACTCGGGGCGCTACGGATTCCTCCTGCCCAGCTCCCAGATCGTCCCCACTGCCACCGAGACGTGGCCGGCGCTCCTGGACATCATGGTCCACGTCCTGGAGCACCCATACTGACCCAGCACCTCCCCCAGCATTCCCTGCTCTCAATAAACCCTCATGGACATTCAGTGGTTTCAGGCACACTCATTATTTTTCATGCTAATCTCCAAAAAAGGGGTGGGAAAGGACTCCCAGTCCTGCAGGTGTTGATTTTCCCCTCGTGACTTTGGCTCAAAGTCCCCATCCTTTGGAGCCAACAGCCAGCATGGGAGGAGGAAATGGGGTTTTTTAGGCAAACAACCCCAAATTTTGGGGTTTTGAGCAGCTTTGCTCCATCATCCTTTCCCAGAGGGCCACAAAGAGGGACATGGGGGTATTTGCTGTTTAGTTTTGGCTGCTGGGACAACTGTCACCTGCTCTGACCTCTGTCCTGGGCCAAGCTTTACACCACTTTCCTCAGCCCAATTTTAAACCAGTTTCCTCACCGCTGTGGTTTAGGGATGCAGCTCACCAAGCCCCAAGTGAAAATCTGCATTTTGCACATTCTCAACCCAAATTGACCCTTTCCCTCCCCTCAGCCGGCACTGGGGGCTGTGGGATTTTGTCACCTCCCGGTCTCACCTTGCTGGCAGCTGACTCAGCAGGGCCCTAGCTGGTTCCTGGGACAGGTTTGGCCAGGACTGGGAGTGCCTGGAGGGGGACAGCAGGGCCTGACCTTGGCTGGTGGCAGCCAGAGCCTTCCCAGGGCCCTGGGAAAAGGGACAGCTGGAGGGGCCGGGCTGGAGCCACCATCCCATGGGATTTAAGAGGACCCAGGGCACTGCTGGGACCTGAGACTGGCTGTCCCTGCTGACCATGAGGCTCCCCGTGCTCCTGGCTGCCCTGGTGGCAGTGGCCACCTGCACCGAGACCTTCTTTGGGTAAGGGGCTGGGATGGGGACGGTGGCACCGGGTGGGGCAGGAGGAACTGGTTCAGCCCTGAGGGAGCACAGGGAAAAGGCTCAGGGGAAATCCCTGGAATGGGGGGACGGATGGGTGGGGTTAGGTCGGATTAACGGGGCCGGAGCTCGTCCCACACCCCTCAGCACCCCCTGACCCCACAGGCACCAGGTGCTGCGTGTCGTCCCCCAGAGCGATGAGGAGCTGCAGAAGGTGCAGGAGCTGCAGGACCTGGAGCATCTGCAGGTACTGGGTGTGGGGGTGGATTTTGGGGTCACCCCCCAGCCCATGGCCTTCGTTTTACACCCCCAAACAAAGCAAGGATGGGGTTGGATGTGGGATTATGGGAGCCAAGTGGTGAAAAGCAAGACAGGCTGGTGCTGGGGGTGCATCCTGAGGCAGGATCTCACCCCTCATGTCCATTTTCCCCACCCAGCTGGATTTCTGGCTGGCTCCCCGCAAGCTCGGCCTGCCCGTGGACATCCGCGTGCCCTTCCGCAGCCTGCAGGCCGTCAAGGCCCACCTGGAGGCCTCTGGGCTCTCCTATTCCATCATGATCGAGGATGTGCAGGTCAGCAGCGCCGCAGAGGAGGTGAGGGAGAGGGGGGATCCCATCAGTGGGAATGGGGCTCATCCCACCCCTGTCCCACAGGCCCTGCTGAATGAAGAGAAGGCGGAGATGCTCCGCAGCAGCCGCCACCGCTCGGTCGACACCGCCACCTTCAACTATGAGGCCTACCACACCATAGATGAGGTGGGAAAGCACAAGATTTGGGGCATTTTGGGGGAAAAAGTTTGCTCTTGGGCAGGGGGTGAGCTGGGAGTCACCCCCGCATCTCTCATTCCCAGATCTACAACTTCATGGACATGCTGGTGGCCGAGAACCCCAACCTGGTGAGCAAGCTGGAGATTGGCCGCTCGACCGAGAACCGTCCCCTCTACGTGCTCAAGGTGAGGATGTGGGGATTGTCATCCAGAGGGGGGAAAGTGGTGACAGGGACAAAGCCAACTTTCCCTCTCTGCTGTCCCAGTTCAGCACAGGGGGCACGAACCGCCCGGCCATCTGGATCGACACCGGCATCCACTCCCGCGAGTGGGTGACACAGGCCAGCGGCGTCTGGTTTGCCAAGAAGGTACTGACACACCCCAAAAGGGTCCTCAGGGGCTGTGGGATCCAGGTGGGTGATCCCACAGGGAGAACAGGGAGCCCCAAACCTCCCTCCTCTCTAGATTGTCGAGGATCACGCGAATAACGAAGGAGTGGCCTCCATCCTGGAGACAATGGACATCTTCCTGGAGATTGTCACCAACCCAGATGGCTTTGCCTACACCCACACCACGGTACTGCCCCGGATCTCCTCCCCTGGTTCCTACTCCTGCTCTGGATGGGGAGCAGGATTTGGGGGGGTTGCACATCCCTGAGAGGGCAAAGCCTTTCCATGGGATGGGAAAGGACCCACACAAGCTGTGGAGCCCCAGCCCTGGGCACCAGCTGAGGTGGCTCTGCCCTTCCAGGACCGCATGTGGCGCAAGACCAGGTCCAAGCACGCGGGCGCCATCTGTGTCGGAGTGGATCCCAACCGCAACTGGGACGCCGGTTTTGGAGGTCAGAGCTGGCCCCCTGCCCCTGTGGAGCTTTTCCACTCTCCAGCTGGGGGCTCCAAAGCTGTTTCTGGCTCAGATGTCCCCTGAGGAAGAGGTGGGATTTGCTCTCCTCGTTTGGGCTCCACCAGGGCTTTGATGCCCTCCAGTGACAAGTGAAAGTCACCATACAAATCTAAATCTCTAGGAGGAGATGCCCCAGGAGCATCCATTGATCACCACCAAGGAGCTGAGGGGTGGGAAAACCTCCTGGGCTTGGAATCCCCCAAATTCCCGCTGTGTTCTCACCATCCTCTTCTCCGCAGATGCCGGAGCCAGCTCAAGCTCCTGCTCGGAGACGTACCACGGACCCTACCCCAACTCGGAGCCCGAGGTGAAATCCATCGTGGACTTTGTGAAGAGCCATGGCAACATCAAGGCTTTCGTCTCCATCCACAGCTATTCCCAGCTCCTGCTCTACCCCTACGGCTACACCGAGACCCCGGCACCAGATGAGCAGGAACTGGTGAGGCCCATGCGCCTTGAGGGGCTGGGATGGGGTGGAGCTTTTCTGCTGCTCCAAGGGGGAGCCACCTCTGTCCTGCACCCCTTGGGAAGCTGGGAGGAGCTTTGTTGCACCCAGAAAAAGCTGTACCCACAGGCTTTTCCTTTCTTTGGCTCATCTTTCCCTGTTCCCTGTATTCCCAGCACGAGGTTTCTGCCAAGGCTGTGGCAGCTCTGTCCTCCCTGTATGGCACCAAGTTCACCTACGGCAGCATCATCACCACCATCTGTAAGTGCTGGGGCAACCCCAAAACCCCAGATCCCAAAACCATCTCTCACACTGGCCAAACATCCCATGGGATTCCTGTACTGTTGTACTGTGTTTCTATACTTTGTAATAGCTTTAGTTTTGTATCCCCGTATTTTTCCCATATGGTTTACCCCAGATTGTACCCCCCTCTCTTTCCCTGTGTAATCCCTTTGTTGAGATCATCCCCAAATCCCCACCCTGGCTCTCTCAATCACTCAGCATCCCATCCCCTCCATCTAGAAGTTTCAATCAAGGACATTGAGTGATTAGCCAGAGGCCAGGGGTCAGCCCTATACGCTGTCCTAAATGTCTGTCCCCCAATATTCATCCCTTAGGGTCACTTACTGGTCAGTAAAATGTTATCTACTTTGGGTTTCCACCTCCCTTTAAATGCAACCTTGGCACCTCTCCCGGGGCTCTCAGCAGGAGCCCCCTGAGCTGTAGGGGCTCCTTCAGAATGAAACCTTGGATTAACCCCTGCTAAGAGTCAGCCTTTTATCCTCTACCCACATCTGTGGTGTCTCTCCTGCTGCAAAGGTGACCAGCCTGGCTGCCCTCAGTACCCTTGGGGCACAGAGAGTGTCCCCTGCCGTCTGCCAACCCGGGGCTCCTGAGAAGCTCCCAGAGACACTGAACAAAGCAATCAAGGCTCTAAATCCCCCCCGATTTTTTCCTCCCCCAGACAGAGCCAGTGGATCGACCGTGGACTGGACCTACAACCAGGGGATCAAATATTCCTTCACCTTCGAGCTGCGGGACACGGGGCGCTACGGGTTCCTGCTGCCCGCCAAGCAGATCATCCCCACCGCCCAGGAGACCTGGCTGGCGCTGAAGGTCATCATGGAGCACGCCAGGGACAACATGTACTGAGCTGGGAGCAGGCTGCAGCAGCTGCAGAGAGGGGAGAAGGCAATCAGTTAATAAATGCAAAGAAGGATGAGAAAAGCTCGTGGTTGTTTTCCCTTTTTCCCAAACTGGGTGGAAAAGGCCTTTCGGAGTTGGGGCTGGTGCCAGCACAAACAGGGTGTGCTGGGTCATGGCCTGGAAAAGGAATTGATTGAAAGGGCATGAAAACAGCAGGAACAAAAAGGAAGGAAAGTGGTGGTTTTCCCTTTGATCTGGCAGAGGATGGGAAGGGAATTGGGCTCTGGGACATGAGGCCAGCAGGATTTCCTGGGGCTCCAGGAGAGCTGCAGAGGGACTGGGGACAAGAGATGGAGGGACAGGACACAGGGAATGGCTCCCACTGCCAGAGGGAGTCTTGGGAATTGAGAATTCCTGGCTGGGCTGGAATTGCCAGCGCAGCTGGGGCTGCTCCTGGATCCCTGGAAGTTTTCCAGGCCAGGCTGGACAGGGCTTGGGACACCCTGGGACAGTGGGAGGTGTCCAGGAGTTGGAACTGGATGGGCTTTAGGGTCCCTTCCCAGCCAACCCTTTGTGACTGTGTGACCCCTCCTCACCTGCTGCCATCCCTAGGGAAGGAGAGCTGAGCCCCTGCTCACTCCCAGCCCTTCCAGGCTCTCCATGGCTCTCAAAGCTGCAAATAAATCACCCAAACAGATGCTGTAATTTACATTTTTATTAAATTAAACCTCTCAGCCTCTAGGGAGTTTGACTCTGCTCCAAACAACACCAGGAGTCCAAATCCACACAAATCCATGGAGATGGTGGGAAAGTACATCCAGTCCTTGCTTTGATTCCTTGGATTTGGAGGATCACAAACAACTCAAGCCAGTTTTATCCAAGTTTCACCAGGAGGTTTTCATGCAGCACAGAGCAGCCAGGGATTCTGGATCTGTCTCCCACAGCTGGACAGCAAAATCAGGATTTTAGCCAATGCAATGACACTGCCAAGAGCTCATGGAGCTGGAAAAATCTACTCCCACAGCAGCAGGACCTTATCAGACTGAACCTGCCAGTCCTGCAGTCAGCACTGTCTCATTTCACACTCACAGTCACAATAAAAGATAAATGTGCTCAGGGATGTTGAGTCCTAATCTCTCAAACAGGAAATAATGTGCCATTTCTCCTACTTTTTGTCCTTTCACCAGAATTATCCCAAAGTCACCAGTGAGCTTTGGGATGTGTTGAAAATTGTCTGCTTCAAAAAGGGGGGAAAACCACTGAATCCAAAAATACACACAAACGCCACAAAGATCACAATAACCAAAGCAGGACCAGGCTCAGCAATGCCAGATGGAAAACTGGAGAGCAGAATCCCTCCAAAATCACTTCCAAAGGGTCCCACAGGCAGCTCAGGAAAATCAGAGGATTCCTAGGTCATCCAGAAGCACCAATTTGAGGAAAAATTTGTGATATTCACTTTTCCAACTGTTCAGTTCCTGATTCCAGGGCCCTGCTGGGTTTTAGGGACCCTGGCGAGGCAGCAGCAGCAAATTTTCCTTCAGCCACCCTAAACCTTAAAGAAACTCCTAAAAAATCACTGGCAAAGGAGTCATTGGGAAAAGAAAATCCAGTTACTCTCCTTCAGGTCACCTTGAAAAAGACACAACTATTCACAAAGTGTCCACGAGTAAGCACGGCTGTCACAGCACCAACTGAGCAATAAAAACCATCTTTTTTACAAATACTCCTGTTCATTACCATAATTTATTTAAAAAAACCAAGAAGCAACCCTTCCAGGATCTTCTCTCGCTTTTGGCAAGTTGCTGAGTGTCTTTATCTCTGCTAAAACCACCAAAGTTTGCGCTCACAGATGATTTGTGGCCTGTTCACCCTCACCGCTCCAGGCCTGGGAATGTTCCGGACACAAATTCCTTCAGCTGGACTAAAAACTTTGTGGGACAGTTTCTACTGGTGCCAGCCTTTACTAGCAGTTTTCTCCCTCCCCTACAAAACCAGTTCTATCAGCTCTGTCCTGCCCTGCCCCCCAAGTGATGCCATTGCAGCTGCCCAGCCTTACCCGAGCTGCCAGGTCTCACCAGGGCTGCTTTCCCCTGCCGATCCCTAAAACCACAAAGGGGCTGCACTGCACTGCTCAGCATTCCCCAAGCTGGGCTCTGCTTTATTTCCAGGGCCTGTTCTGGATGCTGGTCCTGCTGTGGGAGCGGCTGCTCAGGGACGCCAGGCTGCGGGGAGAGCTGTGCAGGCTGGGGTTGCTCCTGGCCGAGGAGAGCTTCGAGTCGCGGCCCGAGAGACCCCGGCTGAGGCGGCCTGTGGGAGAAACGGGCCCAGATCACAAACTGGCTGTGCACGAGTTGGGCTGCCCCATCCCTGGGAGTGTCCAGCCAGCCTGGATGGGCTTGGAGCAGTCTGGGAGAGGGGAAGGTGTCCCTGCCCGTGGTGGGATGGATGGGGTTTAAGGTCCCGTCCCACGGTGGGATGGATGGGGTTTAAGGTCCCGTCCCACGGTGGGATGGATGGGGTTTAAGGTCCCTTCCCACGGTGGGATGGATGGGGTTTAAGGTCCCTTCCCACAGTGGGATGGATGGGGTTTAAGGCCCCGTCCCACGGTGGGATTGATGGGGTTTAAGGTCCCGTCCCACGGTGGGATGGATGGGGTTTAAGGTCACTTCCCATGGTGGGATGCATGGGGTTTAAGGTCCCGTCCCACGGTGGGATGGATGGGGTTTAAGGTCCCGTCCCACGGTGGGATGGATGGGGTTTAAGGCCCCTTCCCACCCAACTGCTCCACAATGAGGTTGAAGCACGTTCTGGTGATGCGTTAGAATTTTAGCATTTATATTTTTCAAATCCTGCACTGCATTAGTGCCACAGTACATGTCACAGTTGAGATGGCCACAATACCATCATGCAGTAGCAGAAAGCTTCAACCTATACATAGTAACACCACACCACTTCAGAAGGCTGTAAGCATCTGCACTTCTCATCTTTTAGCCCAACCTTTTATAACCCTCATGTTCATGCATGGCACCTGTGTGCCCTCTGTGGTAGCTCAGCACACCTGGGCACTCCATGGCTCATCACCTGCAATGCTGCTCACCTGCTTCTCACAGCTGCAGCCAATGAGGGATGAGGCTGGGCTGCAGCCCTACTCCCAATTACCACAAACTCTGTGCCTACAGCTTCCCACCCAACTGTTCCATGATGAGGTTGAAGCACATTCTGGTGGTGCCTCAGCATAAATTTTAGCGTTTATATTTTTCAAATCCTGCACTGCATTAGTGCTACAGCACGTGTCACAGTTGAGGCAATCACCATACCCAGAATGTCACCATACAGTATCAGAAAACTTCAACCCATTCATAAGGCTACAAGCATTTGCTCTTCTCGTTCTTTAGCCCAACCTTTTATCCTCTCATGTTCATGCATGGCACCTGTGTGCGCTCTGGTTGCTCAGCACACCTGGGCTCTCCATGGCTCATCACCTGCAATGCTGCTCACCTGCTTCTCACAGCTGGAGCCAATGAGGGATGAGGCTGGGCTGCAGCCCCACTCCCAATTATCTCTGTGCCTACAGCTTCCCACCCAACCATTCCATGATGAGGTTGAAGCACATTCTGTTGATGCCTCAGCATAAATTTTACCATTTATATTTTTCAAACCCTGCACTGCATTATTGTCATGCACATGTCACAGTTGAGACAGTCACCATACCCAGAGTGTCACCATACAGTATCAGAAAACTTCAACCCATTCAGAAGGCTACAAGCATTTGCTCTTCTCGTTCTTCAGCCCAACCTTTTATCCTCTCATGTTCATGCATGGCACCTGTGTGCCCTCTGTGGTAGCTCAGCATCCTGGGCACTCCATGGCTCATTGCCATCAATGCTGCTCACCTGCTTCTCACAGCTGGAGCCAATGAGGGATGAGGCTGGGGCAACTCCACTCTCAATTACCACAAACTCTGTGCCTACACCTTCCCACCCAACCATTCCATGATGAGGTTGAAGCACATTCTGTTGATGCCTCAGCATAAATTTTAGCATTTATATTTTTTAAATGTTGTACTGTATTAGTGCATGACTAAACTCCACATGAAAGGTTAATTAACTTCATCTGCTCTTAATGTACCTGAAGATCCTTCATTAAACAGATCCCCTTTTATTCTTTGAACTTTGCTTTGATGCCTTGTGAAGGCTGACCTAGATGGAACTACAGAATAAATCAGGGATTCATTCACAGGATCTCCTCCATGGATGCACCTTGGGCAGCACCAGAGCCCAGCCAGGGCTGCACCCAAGATGAACCAAAACGGCCCCAAAATGCACGAGCGCTCCCGGGGTCTCTCCCTGGGATCAGTTCTGCTCCATTTGCACCTTGCAGTTCATTGTCCCATCCCAGCTTCAGCCCAGGCAGTCCCACCCTGCTTGTTTTTCTCTCTGCAGCCCACGGGGTTTGTGCTCCTGGGCTGAGATTTGGGTCATTTGTGCTTGGTGCCCAGCTGGAGCAGGAATTGTTTTGTCTCCCTGCTCTGTGCACAGAGCTCACCATCCCCTAAAGCAGCACAGAATGGGAAAATTTAAAAGCCAAACCCTGAGGGATCAGCCTGGCTTCTGTGTCTAGGCAAGCCCAAAAATGCAGCACTGGTCTCTTACTGGCAGCATCTGAAGGCATCTGCTCCTCAGCCAGGTAATGCCTCAACTTCTGGAGATCATCTGCAGAAAACCTCCACTTGTTCTCTGCCCGTGTGGGGGGCACCCTGGGCGCTGCTCTCCTGCGGGCAGTTCCTGGGGGAGCTGGCACCTGGCAGGACACGGGCAGCGTGCCGGTGATCAGCCCCTCTGGGATCTTCTGGGCCAGGACCTTGAGGCCTGCAGGGACACAGAGCAGCTGTTACCCCAGCTGGGTGGGTCAGGAGGGACCAGTCAGGAGGGATTTGTGGAGCTGGAGGTGCAAAGTTTGGATGGAGAAATGTGGGTGGCAGGAGAGGGGGAGTTCTGCCCCAG